GTTTATACGTGAAATTCTGGAGGGGACGTCGGATGGCGTCACGTGGGACGTAATGACGTGTGCCATTAATCGAATTATGTACTATTAAATGTAAAACGGGAACATGAAAGGAGTATTCTAAAAGCAACTCATGTAAACACCATAATCATAATATTGGCTTATTTAGAATAAGGTAAATAATTAGATTACTGATGTCCATGTAAACGTAGTCAATGCCTAAACATAGCGCCTAATGAATCTGAGGTGGTCAAGGTGGTACAAGTTGTAGCTCTCAGAAAACTCCCGGTTCACAAGTTGTAATTAACGTTAGGAGTTGTACGAGGATGTGAACGCTTTTTACGAGTTGGTATCGTAATCGCGGTAATTACGATATGCCGTGAATGCACCTTTACCACGTATGCTGTAAGATGAATTGTGTGAATTAATGAATAGGCCTAACCCAGTACTAAAAATATTTTAATGGAATGTATATCAGTGCATTGTCATGTAGCTAATCGGTCAAAACGCCGTCAGTCTTTTGAATTATTTAAATTTATTACAATAAATGTGGTGCATGCTGAATCAGACATTAAGAGTTTTATTAAATATTTGTTCAGTTATAATATTCTTATTGGGGGGGGGGGTTGATTCTTTTCAATTCAGCAGGATTTGTTTAATGATAATTTCGGCAGGTGACATCGCTACGCCAGTATTTTTACACATTTGTAATTCATTCGGAAGAAAACGAGCGAGATCAATTCATTCTCTTGACCGATTAGTTCCAAACAGATTTTATTCACTGCTACCTATTTTAAATAGTAGGCTATGTTGGGAGTAGCGAGCTGAAGTTTATTAATTGTCAGAGGTTGAATGGTATTTACAGTTGTCCAGTGAAAACCTGAATCAATAACCAATGGAGATTTGGGTGATCCGTGTAAGGTGCTAATAATATTGCAATTTGCAGTAAATCATTTGCATGTGTACTTAAAATATGTCATTTCAATTTGTCCCAAATGTTGACAGAAAAAAATATACAATATGTATACTACATTATTGAGAAATAACTCCTGGTAAATTACTAAAATGTAGCTCTACTACAAGGTCATGGCATATTCATATAAATTTACTTTTGTAAATAATGTAATATTTCACATTTTCTCTCTGGCAGATTTTTACTGGAATCTTTAGAGGATTTGGACACAAGTTTGAGAAAACTGAATTCAAGGCTTTTTGTGGTGCGAGGACAGCCAGCAGAGGTCTTCCCAAGACTCTTCAAGGTTTGTATTTCTCTCAGGATATTTGTCTTGTGCCTTTTAGTCTCACTTTGGCTTTTAAAATCTAAATAGGTATGTCTGATAACATGAAACATGGAAATTTTCCACCAGGTCTGATGATATACTGGTGCATAAAGCAATGCTGAGTTTTTCAGCATGTCTAAGTGTTTACTATGGTTAGTGGATCTGATGTAGCATAAGCTCATTTTTAATATATCTACAGTGATGTTAGTGGTCAGTTATCATTAGTCGGTTCAGCTGCATGTGATGACTTGTTTCAGAAATACACAATAATTTTGTCAGGGTTTAGTCTACATTTTTCTCAAAAGCTAAAAGCAAAACTTTTTTTTTTTTTTTTTTTTTCCAAAGCCGTATAACAATGGATAACAAGCCTGAACACTGATTTAAAACAAATATCAACCTCTGGCTAATTAGTTTAGCAAACATTAGCTCTTGGCTGGTTGCTATGGTTCCAATATATACACAGTGCACATAGGCTGATGATACACAGGGCAACTTTTTGAGCAATTTTTCTTGGGCACTTTCCCATTGAAAATGGGTAACAAATTTCTATCTGGATACTTTAGATCGGTCGTGCGCCCTGTGTCTCACCTGGTTGCCTGTTGACGGCAACATAGGTCAAAGCTGCCCGGCAACATTGCTCAAAAAGTTGCCCCGTGTATCATCAGCCTTAGTCTGCTGGGAAGAGCGTAGAGGAAGCATTGGGTGTTGTGATCACTGGTCCATCACAGTGTGAGCGTAAGAAACATCCTCAAGCTAGTAGATTCATGAAAATGATGTTCAATTTCCTATGTTGCCCATTCGGTACAGGACATAATAGAAGGATGCGATGTGACAAGGATGGTGTTTGGTGGAAATCACGGTTTAAGTTGTTTCTGTTTTATTATGATAAGACTAACAAAATCACAAAGTGTTTGGAGATGGTCTCCATGGAGGATGACAAACCTCGTGTTGCTTTAGTCTTAGAGTTATGTGTTTTAGGTTGTCAGGGGGTTACATCTTCCTCGGTTTTTTTTTTTGGTTTTTTTTTTGTGGGCTGGTTACCAAGTGTGATAATTGATGTATTTTTTTATATTACAAGTACACAACCATTCAAAAGTTTGGGACCAGTCTTTTTTTTTTTTTTATCATTTTGGAAGAAGTCTCAAACACAGTAAAAACATTAAAAAAAAAATTTTTATATAGTGAAATATTATTATAATTTAAAATATTTTTTTTCCATTTGAATATATTTTCAAATATAATGTATTCCTGTGATGGCAAAGCTAAATGTTAAGCAGCCACTATCTCAGTCTTCAGTGTCACATGATCCTTCAGAAATCATTCTAATATGCTGATTTGGTGGTCAAGAAACATTTCTTATCAATGTTGTAAATGTTTTTTTCTTAGTATTTTTGGGAAAACTGCAAATTTGTTTCAGGATTCTTTGCTGAATAGAAAGTTCAAAAGAATAGCATTTCAAAAAGGCATATTTTGACTTTTATTATCACATTGATCGGTTTAATGTATCTTGCTGAATAAAATGAAATTTAAAAAAATATATTGACTGCAAACTTTTGAACGGTAGTGTATATGTTCTAATATGTAATTAACTATATACATTATTCTTGTATTATACACTTGAAAGTGACTTTTTTTATTTACATTTTTTTCAGTATTTTTATTCAGTAACACAAGATCTCTCACAAAATTTTACACTAACTCAGAAAATGTTACACTTAAACTCAGTTTCAACCAATATAATGAAAGCAGTTTGGTGTTAAAATCCAATTTCACAGAAAATGACATGGAAATGCATAAAATCTTTAAGTCACAGAAGATTCATGAAGTTCTATAGTGAATTTTTTCTACTTATGCTCATTGTGTGTACAATCGCTATAAAATAATTTTTCAAATCCTAGACCTCATTTTCCTTATTCAGTAATCATGAACAGCTGGAAAAGTCATGGAAATTAATTGCTCGAAAGGTGTGGGAACCCTGAGTAATATGTGTTTATTAGCTATGCTTGCTAAGGCAATCATCTCTACTATTTAGGGTTTAGGGGACTATTCAAATCCCTAACCTAAAGTAATAAAGTTCAGTGCATTCCACAGCTCTTAAAGTTCTCATTTAGATGCTCCAATAATTCAGTATTCAGCTAAACATCTGAGTCCTAATTGATTTACACCAGCATTTTAGAGTAGTTTGCTATGAAAGATATAATTTTCTTGCCGTCAGAGCAGTCTTCTCTCTTTTGAGCACGGCAATACATCACTCAAGTGGCTTGTACAAAGCCTTTGGCAGGTTAATACTGCTGTTTATGCAAGGGGGTGACGGCACCAGCACATCAGCCCTTCAAAGTGCGCTTGTATAGCCAAAAAGTCACAGAATTAGCCTACAGTACACTACTTCTAAACAGCTGAGTAGCACAGCGTCCGTTTGTGACGACTACCTGAGTGATGTGTGAAAGGATATTCAAAATGACTAGTAATGGTTTTCTTTTTCAGGCCTTTTGGTAATAACACTAAATTACTATATCACCAGATGTACTTGCTGTCAAAAGAAGCAGTTTAAGTGGTGAAGATACTACACCCTGATGTTGTTCTAGTTAGTTGTAATATTTGTATGATTCTTTAACATGTATATCTGATCTCTCTTGTCTCTTTTAGGAGTGGAATGTCACACGTCTCACGTTTGAATATGACTCTGAGCCTTATGGCAAAGAAAGAGATGCAGCCATCATTAAAATGGCACAGGAATACGGTGTGGAAACCCTGGTACGAAACACTCACACGCTCTACAATCCAGACAGGTGGGTGATGAACTGAACTTGCACACATTCCTCATGGAAAACTGACACGCATACACACACACACTCATTCACTCACAGATGCAACCTTTTTGAGGTTAAAGTTTTGTAAAGAAATTCATTTAGTGCAATTATTTGTCTATAAAAATGTCTATTACATTTACTCAAGCATGTCAATATTTGACAGGTAGTGTATTAACCCAACTCAAGCGCTATCACACACCCGATGCACGCCCAAACAAAGATATATATATATATATTACATTTACAGATTAATAATTTATTATTTTTATAATTCTGAAATAATTATAATTTAATATTAATTATAATTGTAAATTTAATAATTTGTCATAGCTGCGAGTATGTGTGTGTATGTATGTATGTATGTATGCATGTGTATATATATATAATAACTGAAAATGTAATATGTATTGTTAACATAATAATAAATAGTACTTACATGTATTAATAATACATATTACATTTACAGTTGTATATTTTTCAGCTATTATAATATGTTTATGTATGTGTTCAGTATGTTTTCTTCTTTTTTTTTGGCAAGTATATAGGGAAACTTTCTGACATTGTATCAGTTTTTTTTTATTGCATCAATCTACTAACTTAAAGTTCAAATTTAAAAAATAATCATTTATATTAGGGACAATAAAAATGTTGTCAGTACAAATCTGAACTAGCTGGGCCAGAGGGGAAAACCTCCTTTTAGTGCACATCATGGGGCAGCACTCCCTAATCATTGACTAGATTGCTCAGTAAACTTTGCCAGCACTTTTAGCATAATATGACATTAAGATGAACTGTGTGCTATCGTGACCCTGGCCTGCACTTGTGTTTGTGTAACTGCCATTCTCTCTCTCATGCCTTTCCTGAGAGTATTACCAAACAGGAGAGAATGACTCTCCCCTTCTCAGATCATCATGCAGATACCACTACTCCTGACGTGTAATGTAAAGCAAGTGGCCTTTTGCGTAGGTTACATAAATGGGACGGATGTTGGTAATACGGCCAGATTCTATGTCTCATTCAGAAGGGAAGAGAATGAGCTTGCATGCATAAGCGTGTGTGAATGCATGTGCAGGTGTGCATATGACGTCTATCGCTGCCCTGGACGTTATGAGACTCGCTGCTGCCATCTGGAGGTGGGAAGCGGCCCTGTCGGTCACACTGTGAAACATGTGCTGTGGGAGGGAGGGTGAAATAGCTCAGCATGCAAGTCACCACCCCAAACATGTGCCAGCCAAGCGCTGGGCTTTTCCTAAGGAGCACGCAGATGCCCCCTGATTCCGCACCGTGCCGAGAAAACCGGCCAATGGCAGGGGCGGATATCAACAGGAGTTGTATAAGATCAGGACTATAAATAAGGGACAGACTGTTAATGTGTTAAGGCTGTTGTTTCTCTCTTAGAGGAGCAGCTGAGACTATTAGCTCCTCTCTTTGAGTCTCTCCGAGCCAGATAGGCATATGTGCTTCCATTTGAAGAATGTGGGGAAATGTGTTCCTATTGGACACACTGCCATGCAAACTTTCTGCTTGATCCAATATGACTTTACTTTAGTGACCTTGTTAACTTAAGAATAAAATTGGGCTTTTTGCAGTGCCACTTTAATAGAATGTTCTAGAAGTGGTGTGTCCAATAATCAAGCAAGTTTGTATTATATCACTCAGGGCAGCAAGTTGTTGTTGTTATTTTTCAGTAGTTCAGATTTTTCCCACCACATTTTATATTTTATTTTGAATAATTTAATGTTTTTTTTTGTTTTGTTTTTACTTTTAAATGGTAGCTTTTTTTGTATGTTTTTTTTATAGGAATGCTTTTCAAGTCTTTTATGCTCACAAAGTCTGCATTTATTTAAAAAAAAAAAAACTGCTATGTTGTGAGATATTATTACAATTTCAAGTTTTCTGTTTGAATTTATTTTGAAATGTTATTCGTTCCTGTGATGGCAAAGCTGAATTTCCAGTCTTCAGTGTCACATGATCCTTCAGAAATAATTCCAGTATGCTGATTTGGTGCTCAAGAAAGATATTATTATTACCAGTAAAGAAAACCTTTGTGCTGCTTAATATTTTAATGGAAACCGTGATCCACTGTAATTTTCAGGACTTTTATAATGATAATGTTTAAAAGAACAGCATTTATAATATATTTATAATAATGTCCTTGCTCAAAAGTATTCCTTTCCACACAAAAAAATAAAAATAACTTGCTGTCCCCAAATTTACAGTAAATTACAGTACAGTAATATAACAGTAGTGTAATTTGCAACGGATGTTTTATCCACAAATGTAAAACCTACTGGGCCTGTGACAGCCTGTGTGATCAGCTGGATCAAACTCTTACCGAAAATGAACTCGGTGATGCCTTTGAAAATTATTTATCTACTCTAAAACAACAAGACAAAACCAAAATGGTTCAAAACAAAGACATTCCCCCTTCTAAGGGCTGTTAAAATTCAATATAGCTGCTTTTAGGCAGTGAAATCTGAGACATGTTTTTTGCTTTTCCCTCAGGATCATAGAAATGAACAACCACAGCCCCCCTCTCACTTTCAAGAGATTTCAAGCCATTGTGAATCGACTTGAACTTCCCAGGAAACCATTGCCGACCATCACTCAAGAGCAGATGGCCAGGTGTCGGACGCAGATCTTGGACAATCATGATGAACGTTATGGCGTACCCTCTCTCGAGGAGCTGGGTTTTAAGATTCGGGGTGACAGCTCACATGTATGGAAGGGTGGTGAGACAGAAGCCCTGGAAAGATTAAATAAACACTTGGACAGAAAGGTGAGACATGGTGATACTTTATAAAGTTAAATAATTTAGAATACGTTTTAATAATGATTGTTGACTACTTAATTATTAACAAGAAATACAGTTATGTATTTTTAAATAAAATGTAGTTGTTGTTTTTTTTAACTCCAGTGTATTTCTAGAACGTAATAATGAATGAATGGTTATATATATCTGTCAAAATAGTTATTTTTAATTTTTATTTATTTTTCTTTTTTTAATATTTGATTTAATCATGTTATTTTGATGCAGGCCTGGGTAGCAAATTTCGAGAGGCCTAGAATAACTGCTCAATCACTGTTCGCAAGCCCAACTGGACTTAGTCCTTACCTACGATTTGGATGTCTGTCTTGTCGCGTGTTCTACTACAATCTGCGGGAACTTTTCATGAAGGTAAGTCATTGCTATTTTATGGCATTGTTGGTAGTCTAGAGAAGTGGAAGTTTAATATTCTGCGGTAGCTTGTTTCGAAATTATGAAAGTGGATGTTCAAATCAAATAATTACACTTGCCAATAGATGCATTTGAGTTGAATGATAAAGGGACCTAGAATCTAGCCTTGGGGACGCCACAAAAAAAAAAAAAAGATAATTATATGCTACTTGCCAAAGTTCTGGACACACTTGACTGAATTTATTTTTCTTGTGGTCTTAAAAGTCCTTTTGATCTAAAGGTTGATGTTGAAATGTGTCTAAATTTGAATTTATTTACAAAACTAATAAAATGGATAAGTTGGTCCATATAGTGATGCAAAAGCATACATGGGAACTTCAGTACTCATAAAAAGTATGACAGGTGGATACTTCATGAAGTTAGCTTTGAAATAGAAAATTCAAATGTGGCAGTAATTATGGTATAAGAAATAATTATCGATGCGTCCTGTTGAATATGCATGTATTGTTATAAAAGACATACTGTAGAACTGCCACAGCATAGTAAAAAGAATATTTTGTGACTATTTTCATGACCTCTTGCACTTGTCCAGCTGCGGAGACGCTCCAGTCCACCCCTCTCGCTCTTTGGCCAGCTGCTGTGGCGAGAGTTTTTCTACACGGCAGGCACCAACAACCCCAACTTTGACCATATGGAGGGGAACCCCATCTGCGTTCAGATACCCT